TCGAGTTTACGGTTAGGGTAGGGTTGTTGGCTCTAGGGCCTAGGGTTTTGGGCATTCGGTTTGAACATGAGGGTCCCCTGTTTTGGACAGGGGGAAGGATACTTGCTTGGCATCATGCGCGCCATTCTTTGGGAAATGCCTGACGCACTGCGCACAAGCTTACAGCAATTGCTTGCACGACTCTTCTGCACTTGGATGCAGACAGTGAGGATGAGTTGCACCGACCGTCATGCTCCTTGGGCTATCTCCCTCTCTCTCTCTTCCCCTCCCTCCCTCCCTCCCTCCCTCCCTTCCTTCATTCCTCTCTCTCTTGATCTCCTTGTGGAGTGCTTAGAATCAGAAGATAACATGGCAGTCATTCACAAACAGAGCAAGACTTCGAGCAACAAACCGATTGCTGAGACAAGAATCAAGAGTAATCGCCTAAAGCGAGCAGGGTGAATTCTTGCGATGCACCATGGCCAGCAGCAATTTCAAGACTCGGTACCCCAAACCAAATCTTGCTCCGAAGGTTTCCTGCCAGTCGCAGATGCATCTTCCATCCCCAGACCGCCCTTTATTGCCAGGCGTCCCCTCCCGAGACCGCCGTGGAGAGTCCGTTTCTTCCCGCCGGGTGAGTTCGTGGCAAGGCCCTCTGCACATCTTTGCCCCGTTCGCTTCGGCCTTGGGGTCTTGTGTGGCGCCACAGCGGGGATCCCGGCAGGTGAAAGCGTGATTGCCAGGCTCCGAGTGCTTGAAGGCGTGGCTTATGCTTGCTGCTGCTGTTCATGTACCGAGACTCCTAGTTTGGTATGAAAGCCATGAAGGCCAAGCGGCACGCAAGGTGGCGCATGTCTTCCTGTACCTTGCAGGTGTGTCATGCTCGTCCTGGTTTGTCTTTGGGCGAGGAAGAAACCCGCGATGGACGCTGGTGCGGCGTCGGACCCTGAGTTCGAATTTGACTCTTTGAATGATACATCTACTTGGCCAAGGCATCGCTTCAAGTGCAAGAGCTGCAATGCTGTCTTCAGTACCAAGCAAAAGCTTGGCGGCCACCGGAGCCATTGCAACGCGCGAAAATGTGTGGGTTGCGGAATGTTGCATGTCTGCCTTCACTCTTAGGCAAGCCCTTGCGGAACTTCAATGGTTTTCAAGTCCGTATCTGCTTTTGCTGCTGGTGCCTCCTAAGGCTGCACGCACAGGCCTCAGCCATAAGATCGAAGGAAGCAGCATACTTGCAGCCGTTTTCGGCCGTTTTCAATTTATTCTCTTTGAGTACCGAGTTGGAGGGTTTCCTCCAAGCAGCATCTGGCAATCATGCTTGGCATCTTCGTGATGCTGTGGGCTGGAGCTCTGGGAGAGGAGACGTGTGCTTCTGGCAGGTCCCTACTTCAGAGGGGCCTTGCGAAGGGCGAGTACAATGAGACTCTTCAGCCCAGCTCACAGAGCCTCCTCCCCCTGAACCACACCAATGAGTCGCAGATGCAGCTGGCACTGGTGCAGCGCTCTGAAGGTCGTGGCCGCGGCGCACGCCAATCCTCGGAGGAGCTGGATGCGGTGGTGTCCAGCAAGTTCTTCGACGACATCGCAGATGGTTTCGAGTCCATTGGCCAGGGTATCGCTGATGTGGGCATGACGGTTGGCAGCGCCGTGGGCAATGCAGCTGTGGTGGTGGGCAACTCCGTGGTAGAGACGGCGGAAATTGCGGCGGACGCCCTGCCATCGGAGACCAAGCGGCACAATTGCATTTGTTTGGTCATGGAGTTATGCTGCAAGATTTGATACAGGTAATGGTTAGGGAAGACGGATGATGATCCATTTTCGCTGTCCTCACTTCAGGAGATCAAAGATGCGGCGAATTCCTTGGGGAACGCCGTGGTCACAGCCGCGGAGGCCGTCGGGGATGTGGGGGAGATGGTGGTGGACGCATACGTGGACTTGGCGGATGCTGCCCTCTCGGCCGCAGAGGATGTGGCCGAGCAGGCCGCCAAAGTGGGAAGTGCCCTGGGAAACAAGATCGCGGATGCAGCTAATGCCATTGGAGAAGGGATTGAGAAAGTCGGCGCCATGGCCGTTGGTTTTGCTAAGGCGGCGTGGGAAGCGATCAAGGACTGGATCAATTGTTTGGTGAATTTCTTGGATAACTTCATGTGCAGGGTCTTGATCGGTGATCAGTGCGACTGCGATGCTGGCAGTGGTCTGGATATCTCTGGCGGTGGTCTGTCCTTGACGTGTAACCAGATCCGCAGACAGATCTAGGTTCTTTCCGAGGGTTGAAGGTTCTTGCCGCTGGTAAAGTCTCTTTGAGTTCGGCCAAGGTTACGTCAAGGGTGGTGGCCTGAGTTCGGGCTATGGCTTCACCTCGGAGGGTAATTTCGAGATGGGCGACGAGAGCAGCAGCGGCCGCAGCAAGCTGCCGGGCAAGGAATTCGTTCAGAGCTTCAGGCCCCAAGGCCAGGAGCTGAAGGCGAGGCACGTGGCACTGAAGCAGAAGCTCACAGCCACATTAACATGTTACATTTTTTGGGGTGTTCCAGCAAGAGGCTAATTTACCAAGCAGAGCAAGTGAACTTCCCAACTGAGGAAGCAGAAGCGGGCTCCTGCGGGCAGCTGCGAGAGCTTGCTGGATGTGGCCCTGGAAGGCGTGGTGCAGTTTGCGCCTATGATCCAACTCAGTGCCCAGATCAACGGAGACACCGAGCTCAAGGTGTGGATCGAGTCCTCCATATGTTTGCAGATTTGTAAGTGCATGCGTACACGCATGCACGCGTGCATATTCGTTAGAGACTTCCCCGTTCGGACATGAGTTACTCATCTATATCGATCTTAGCAGGTGAGTGACTTTAGTGTAATTGAAGTTCGAGGTGGAGGGCACGGTGAGGGCCTCCATGGATGGCCTCATCAGCGCTGAGGGCAGCTGTGGCTTCGTGGCGGAGAAGCGCTTCCCCAAGATCCCAAAGACGAAGGTGCCCTGGCATTTGGACATCAGTTTCGTCAACTGCAAGTCTTCAGAAATCGTCTAACATGAGTTTTTGCGCACCTGGTGGGTGAAACCTCAGGTGATCTGTGGGCCGGCCTTCTGCGTGGCCGTCATGCTGCAGATGGTTGCAGAGATCGAGCTCCAGGGCATCCTCACGGGCAGCGCTGAGGTCACAGCGTCTGCGGACTTCAATGTGAAGGGTTCGGTGATGCTGAACCCCAAAGGCTGCCAAGTTGGTTAAATTAGACCTGTCTCCATGCCTCTTTATAGCTATCCTGGCTCCTTGAGCTAGCATTTTCTTCGCGGGAGGCTCGGGGAGGTAGCGTTGCAGCCTTGCAAAAATGCAGTGGAGGCCACGCGGAGGCAGACTTTGAGAGCCCAAACATCCAGCACCAGCACGGCTTTGGCTTCGGTGCCAGTGCCAGCGGTTCAGTTCGTCTTGCTTTGGGCCCTGAGCTGGTGATCTTCCCAATGCCCGGCGTTCCTATCACCATCAACCCTATGATGAATGCAGAGATCCGTGCACAAGGTACCCTGGACATGCCTGTTGGTTCTTTCATCCAAGCCGGCCAAGAAGCCGGCCACGCCCGAAAAATGCACGCAAACACCAGCACTGGCCTGGGACGAGTGAACCAAATTGCCTTGTGTGGAGCAGCTGCTTTGAACTTATACTCGGACATTAGTGTCATGGGCTTCGGTCTTCCCAAAGCGATTTCGGTCAGCCTGAGCACCGGCTGGATTGAAGAGGCCATCACGGAGGCTCTCCTCAAAGGTGCTGACATGCTCGTGGATATGGCCACAGGTTATTTTTCGTGCCTGCCCTTGGTGGGTGATGCGGTAGGTGCAGCCGGGGATGCGGTGAAGAGTGGGGCTAGAGCTGCAGCTGGAGCTTTGGGCTCTCTCATCCCAGATCTCAACCTCGACTTCTCCACGCCCTCTGTGGAGCTATTGAAACCCACAAAGTTGTTTTGCTCCACCGTGGCCAAGTCGCATGGCTTCGATGGCTCCGAGTGCTCGCAAGAGCTGGGCTGCAAAAGTGCCGGGAGGCCTACGGCCCCCATGGTGACAGTGGCCGCCCCAGAGCAGGTGAGGCAGACGCAGCGCCCTTCTGCAGCTGCGCCCACATGCTCCACCATCCTCATGGGTGATCGTTTTATAGAGCTGGGGGACTGGCGACTGGCGGACATTGATGGCAGGCACTTCTCCGTCTCGCATCGCAGCCACTACACCGCAGTCATCTACCGGGAAGACGGATTGACTATCGGTGGATGGAGGTCACGAGATTGGAACGGGTGGTCCCGCCCCACAGGAGCAGCGAAGGGCATCAAGTTTGGCTTCCAGTTCATTCAGATCGGCACGTGGCGAATAGGGGCGGTCAATGCGGATCACTTGTCCATCGCCCATGTTGGGGGCCAGGTGTCTTGCATCTGGAATCAGGACAACTCTCTACGAAAGGGGCCCGGAACTGATCATTCGACCTTCGACCGTCCGTCGGGCGAAGCTGTGGGGGTCAGCTTCGGGGACCGCTTCGTCCAGGTTGGCGAGTTTCGCCTCGGAGACTTGGGCCACAATGGGGAGCACAGCCACTTTGGCTGGACTGGCAGCAAGGGGCAGACCATCCAGCTCTTCCGCTCCGATGGGATTGAGGTTCACCCAGGAGGCTCGCAGTGGCTTGGCCAGCAGTCAGTGAGCAGCACAAGCCCCTGCACAGCCTTGCAGTCAAGTCTTCAAATGGCATGTGTACGCTGACATTGTCAGCACACTGAGATGGAGCTTCCACTTGAACGACCGGCACCCCTCGGCATGGACCTGCAAGAGTGTTCAGGAGATGGCCCACGGCAACTGCGATGGGGTTTCGGGCGCCTGGGGAGATCGCTTTATCGAGATCGGGAATTGGCGAATTGGCGTGGTCGACATAATCCACCTGGAGGTGATATGTCAACATGTGTTATTCATGTTTATTCAGTTTTGCCTCGTGTGTGTCTGTGTGACGCAGCGCTTCTGAGCCTCCATGACAACAAGCTGGACCAACCAAGTGCTAGTTCGCTCAAACGGGTTCTGGGGTGGTGCGCCTAGCGGGCTTAGCAGAATTACGGGCCCTTCATGATCTGTGGGGCTGCAAGGGATCTTAGACTCGACGAGGTCTTCAGAGTGCTGTTCCTTCATGGAGCCGTTTTGTCACCTGTCACCCTTGGAGGTGTCCAACCGTTATGGCGCCAACAGGCTGATCTACAGTGCTTGGACTAACACACTCTACGACGAGAAGAAGAGTGGCACGATTTGGAATAGGCCATTGGGCTTCCCACATGGCATCGCTTTCGGCCACAACTTCATCCAGATAGGGCTTTTCCGCATAGGTTCGTATGACAGCGATCACCTGAGCTTTAGCTGGTCGAACGGCAAGACCATCATGCTCTACAAATCCGATGGCTCAGCTCTCACTGGGCCCCGCACGGACCTAAATCTGTGGGAGCGCAGTCTGGGACCAGCCACAGGAGTGACCTTCGGAGAAAAGTATCTCCAGCTGGGTAGTTGGCGCATAGGTGACGTAGGGTGCACAGGCCCATGGGCTACGAGCTGCTACTTCCAGTTCACTCATGTCAGCGACCAGACCCCTCAGATGTTGCGTTCTGATGGAGGGTTTCATGGAGGTGCGACGAATTGGGGCAAGGTATTGAATGATCGCTATCCCAAGTGGCATTGCGGAAACATCCAGCACACCATGGGCATCTGCTCTGGTATGATGGCCGGCCCAGACTACCTCACCATCGGCGAGTGGCAGGTGGCCGCCATAGACAACCACCACTTCAGCATTTCGCACAAGGACGGAAAGACGGCGATGATCTATACCAAGGATGGCAAACAGCACCCGGGGCCCCGTACAGATTACAGGGACCGGTGGAGTTATGATCCTACGAGCCAGAGTCCGATCCAGTTCGGTGACCGCTTCATGCAGATCGGGAGTTTCCGCATGGGCGAGGTAAACAGCCAACATTTCTCCATCGGTCACAAAGATGGGTGGACCAACAGCATCTTCCGCGGAGCGGGGCGCAACATTGGGCTTGAGTCTTTTGAGCTCTTGAGGAACACTACGTAGCCCATAATCCAAACTGCGTTTGTGATGGCAGCACCCACCTGACCACCCAGCAAATCACCAGGCTCTTTAATTGTTGAGGTCCAGTGTAGGCCTCCTTTCGTTTGCAGAGGTTGTTTGTCCTTTGAGGAGCTTTGGTCCATCTTCCACTGTGATCAGTGATTTCGTAGCAGGTTGAGGGTTTCGGAGACTGGTATAACGGGATGGTCAAGCTTGCATTCATCATGTCTGAATGTTTACATCACAGTAGCGTGCAATGTGGAATTTGGCGTAGTGAGATTAGCTACGTTAGGCTTGCCTGTGGATCGGCTGGTCCGTCCTAAGTCTTTCAATAGCAAGCATGTGGGAGGTAAGGGTCAGCTCGGAGCCGATGATTCGCCAGGATCGAGGCTTTTGTAGCTTCCCTGCGTCACATTTCCCCTTCCCTCTTCAGGAGACGGCACCGAGCATCCGGGACCACGTACGGACTGGAACGTTTTGGCTCGCCAAATCGGGGAGCCCCTCGGGATTGGCTTCGGCGACCGTTTCATACAGTTCGGGAATTTCCGCATGGGTGATGTGGATGGGACGCACTTCTCCATCTCGCACTCTAGTGGGCGCACCATCGCGATCTTCAAGAAGGATGGCACTGTGGAGTATGGGCCGCGAGAGGACTTCACCCTCTTCGGCCGGAGCCTCTCGGAGTGCCACGTGGTGCCTCTCTGAGGCGCGTTTCCCGTTTCGTGAGCAGGCAGGAGGCGAGATCGTATTAGATCCTGGTGGCTCATTAGCCTTGAGGCTTGCATTCGGGGGATGTTTGAGCGACCGGGTCTTAATGATGAAACTGTATCTGTATCAGTAGGGCGCTGCCCCTCGTCCTAATCTTTGCTCGGTCTTTGCTCTCGAGCGAGTTCCGCGCATGTGTACTTGGGTCGCTTGTAGCATCCCTTAAGGACTCGAAGCTCTCAATGCCTTCGGCCACCTCAAAAATACCCTGAAACACCAAATCCGCGCAGGACCGGTGCCGCCAAGTCCAGACCCCAGCTTCGTGTGCAATTATTTTCATTAATTATTAATTTACGGGCTGCCGCCAGTGC